AAAGTCATCAATAATCTCAATACCTACATGCTTAATATCCTAATATCTACAACAAATTACTCAACTTTAAAACAAAACAAATTAAAAATTAATATGAAATCAATCTTTATGACTGCAGCTGACTAACGACTTAATGAATTAACAATAGATTACATAAGAAATTATGAGAGTGAAAAGTAGTAAGAAGAAGGATTATAAGCTCAAGTCAATAATCCATAATCTAATTTATTGGACACTAAATTACCAGAAAAAAGAGAAAATTAATGATCATATTCCTCATGTGCTGTAATTAGCTACATAAATTATATAAATCAATTGCGCCAAATTATTTATTGAAAAGTCGACGTGAAAGAAATTTCTAAAAATTCTAAACCTGCTGCATCATTTAAATTTTTTACATTGCATGAAAGTTAAAATAAAAATAAATCAAAAAACATTTTTAAAAAAATTCTCGACTTGCTATTTATAGCCACATTCTTCAAATATATGCAAATGTAGATGTATGTAGGCTTGACATATTCATTTACACATTTCATAAGTTTTTGTGGCATTCTCTTTCCTCTTCTCATCAAACAGAATCAACTTCCATGTTCTCAGTGGTAAAGGAAGGGTTATGGAACGTCTGGGCTATTATTGAGGGTTGAAAAATTAAGGATTTATTACCACAGGCATCAATTAAGTACGATGTGACCTTATGAGACATTCTGAGGTTCACGGCAGATCATGATCAAAGCCAGAACTCGACTGCCTTTAACCTAATCCTACCCACTAGCAAAGCCACTCCTTACCAATCATCCCAACTACACCCCTGCACGTTCCAGTCTGTTAAAACACGACCAAAATTCCACAGACTAAAAAGAAATTCTTTTAATCAAATTGACACGATCGTGTTAAATTATTTATTCGTGAGGAATTTAACATATTAGGAGGAGAATCATAAGTCGATTTTTATAAAATATTTATCGTATTACAAATTATTAAATTAGTAGCGGAGAAGGTCATCGAATGAGTCATTTAGCTTTTTGTGGTCTCGGCGCATTTTTCATTCACATTTTTGAATTTTAATATTTTCATTATCATATTTTTGTGAAGTATTTTAACGAGATATGTAAGAATTTTGATGGATATGAGGAAGTAAAAATGTGTTTTTTGTGGTCAGGTTGAGGCATTCGTAAAATGTCATCTTTGTTGGAATTTAACGGTTTCTTGAGATTTGAATATTGAAAAATTTTGTTTGAAAACAAAATGGCTGATTTTTGTCACTTTAAAAAGTAATTTTGATAAGTTTTAACCTCAGCTTTGGAATCTTTTAAACTTTTTTATGCAGTTTAATTCAAAAAAGTGGCAAAATTCAACCAATAAAACTTTAAAGACTTCAGTCATTATATTTTGTAAATTAATCAATCATTACTAATTTCAAAACCCATTCAACCATTTTAAATTGACTTACAAGCCTCAACATACTTACTTCTAATACCCACAAAAATACGATAGGCATTTTAAATTCAATCGTGCTTAAAAATTAATTTAAATATTGATTTTTTATTCAAATACTCTTATTTGTGACACTTAATCGTCTTTTAAAATATCATAGCTTTATGTCACTCATTTATTCATGCCTCAAACGCAATTATGATAAGAGAGATGAAAAGAATGGAAAAAAATATTGGAAATAATAAAAAATAACATAAAACGTGCCGTTATCTTCTGTCAAGTTGACATCTATGTATGTATAGATGTGAGTATATGAAAAATGAAATAAGATATGAAGAGAACTTCTGTGTTTATTGAGAATATACTTTACAATGCCACATTTGTTGTTGTCTTTTCTTTTTTCATTCTTCTCTCATTTTCTGTCCGTGAGTAAAAAAGAATTTTGAGTTATGACAAGATTTTTTGCATCAAAAGGAAAGGAAATTTATTGAAAGGGTAAAAAAGAAGAACAGATGGGGACAGGAGGAATGTCAATCTGATGTTGAGCTGTAGCTTAAGGGCAGAAAATACCTTGAAATGACAGCTTTGAAGTTTTTTGTGTGTTTTGAGTTTTTGTTCAAAACAAATCAGTGCGTTGGTTCGGCATGATCTAATTGGGACAACAGGAGGGTCAATTGTTTAGATAGATCTAGTATTAATCTACACATAAGTCTAAATCGGATGTTGCCTAGACACAAAACCTAAGATCTAGTTTATTCAATAAAAACACACTAAACAACTAGGTACAGCTAGCTGGTTCTATATAGGTGTAGTATACGTCCACCTATAATGTTTTGTTGATGATTCAACATCCCCCGACCCGGTTTTCTTTAAGAATGATCAATTATAACACTCTATAGCATTCCATCGCCACACTTATGTTCACAACAGCACCCAAACAACTAAAAGAAGCACTCACAACAGTTTCAGCACACTAAGTCGATCTGATAAATTTTTAAAAATCACTTTTCCCTGTCAATTTAAAAGGAAAAATATTAAAATAAATGTTTTTGAACACATTGCCCCGCATCTAACTCGTTAATATAATTTATGTTGTTATGCTTTTAGCATAGAACAGCATTAAGTAGATATCGTATGGGACTCAAGTGTGTCAATTTTCACAAAAAAAAAAAACAAAGAAATAAATGTTTTGAGAAAGAACAATCACATAAACAGAGCATCATTGTTGTCATATTCATGCTGTCTGTGGATGTATATATTTTCGTACAATTTTTCCTTCCTTTCGGGCGAGAAAATGAAAATATATAAAATCTGACATTTGAAGTATAATGCAGCATGCAGTAGATGTGCATGAAATAAAAATCCATTTTTAAGCAACAACAAGAATGAAAAATAGTTCCACATACACATGCAAAGATTTTACTTAAAATTTTTTTGTTGCTGCTCAATTCCGACGATTGTGTCGTATACACACATCGTGACATTATGTTATGTTTACTTCCACTATGCCGGCATGGCTTTTTTTACAATTGAACAAGGCAAAAAAAAATTGGATTTTTTTTCATCCCGACCGTCAGTTTACTATTAAGTCTCAGACATTCGACATTGTGTTTTTTTTTATCGAGTTTTTTTCAAACTCCTGGTTTTTGTGCCTGTCTATTGTTTTAAATTTCAATTTAATCGCCGTGTGCTCTTTATTTACATCGCTATTACATATCAATTGTTTGCAGATGAAGTCCTACGTCTGCACAAAATAAATAAGAACAAAATGAAGCTTTATGACATTCCAAACAATCTAAAAGTAATTGCATTACTTATTGTGCTGTAAATATTTTCTTTGTCTTCGTATCACTTAATGACGGGGTTGGGTGGAAATGATGTCAGTTAAGAATGAGGTTTATTGACCTTTTTGGAAGCTTAGTCAGATAGCTGCAGATCCTTGGAGGGTCGTCATATAGTTCTAGACTTCCAACACTCATTAGACTCTTTATGTCCATCATTTAGATTAGGGTTAGATTAGGGACTCAAACAGCTTGGTTTGAGTTCCAAAAACCAAATCATCTTACAGACATCATTTAAGCACAACCCCCATACCACTTTCCCACATGTGAATATTGTTCCACAAAACTGAAATCGAGATATTTATGGATTGATATTGAATAAAAAAAAAAACAAGGAGAAAAAAAAGTTCTGTCTCTGTTTTTACTTCCATTCACGGTGGATGAAGAAGGAAAAACATTTGTTGATGCACAGCAGCTTTTTTTTGGTTGCCGGCGAAAAACATATATCAATATAAAAACTATGTACATAAATTCTCTATTAGATATTATCATTGCTGTGAAAGTTCAGGCAATATGTGCAAAAACAAAATAAACTTTTTTTGAGGTTGGAATTTAAGCGAGATGTGAAATTGTCAAAGGATAGTGTGCTTTGTCTGGGTTGTAATTGAATTTTGTTGGATAAAATGAAAAGAATTTTTTGTACGTTGGAAAAATTTAAATTTTTTCTTGTGTCGAGATAAATGTTGACTGTTGGATGAATCCTTGTCAGTGATGTTGGCATCGTGTGTGATTTATTGTCACATTATATTCATACTTTTAAGATTTTGTTGATAGAATGAGCAATTATTGATTTAATCAATAAAAAAATTAATGCTTTAAATTCAATAATTGCTTTAAATTAGTTAAAAAGCTTAATCTTTTCTGTAATTTTTTCATGGAAGTTTTTTTTCTCACCTCAAAAAGTTTTTATGGATTTTCTGGATAATTTTGACGAGATAAAGGTTGAAACTTGTACAATTAACTAGAAAAAGATGGCAAAAGTTGATTCCAAATTCAATTTAAGTTAAAAAGTATATAATTTTAGGGGAAAAACAACCTAGTTTATTATGAAATATCTGCTCAAGGTACTATCGACTTAGGATATCGTCATTTTGACAGTTATTTTCCTTTTATAATTCATATTGAGCATATCCTTCATCACTTAATCTTGATCCCCTTCCATACTCGCCTTTGTTTACTCAAATTAAACTTCACTACAAAAACTATTTATTGAATTCGTATGATAATAAAAGCTATTTTATATATACAAATATGACAATAAACATTCTATCATTGTTGCTTATCATACACATGTGAGATGCTTAATATTTAAATATTCAAGCTATAACAATAAAAATATTTCAACAAAAAAAATTGTAGTAACTCATACATTCCATCCCAAGAAGATTAGCAAACATCACAAAAAAACTTCTGAATGGATGTTGATTCAGGGATATAAAATTCATCTCACTTACGCTTCAAATATCTTCAATTCTGTGTATTAGCATTGCAAAAAGTCTCCGACACATAGCATTTAAGTTATTCATATGGGAGCACTTTGTAATTAAAAACTATCTACTCGAGATTTTTAATCTAAGATGGAAGTTCTTTACTCTTCATAATGATTGCTTTGAGTCATTCGAATATATTTGCATATATGCATCGTCCATAAAGTAGTGCATTATGTTATGAAAAAAAAAAGACTTGTTTACTTATGCTTCTTTCTTATTTTTATCTCTTCTACAGGGTGAAAGAACTACATGGGAATATCACACTGTGATATTATATAGAGTTGCAGGCTATGGATTTGGAATTGCAGTGGTAAGTAGAGCCTTTCATATCATCTTTTACATAAATAATGAGCCTCATAAAATCTTTTGAATACAGTCTGGAGGACGAGACAATCCACATTTTGCAAATGGTGATCCATCTATTGCCGTGAGTGATGTGTTGAAAGGTGGACCAGCGGAAGGAAAATTGGAGTGAGTATGAAATAGTTTTGGGAGTTGTTCAGCTATGACGACTTGGTTTAAGAGAATGGAAGTAGAGTCTCAAATGGTTCTTGTTGGTTTAGCCTAGGTAAACCTTAGGTTTGATCTACAGGGACTATGCCAAGATATATGTACCTCATAAGAACCATAACATGTTAAGCTCTATAGGAACTCAACCGACCCTAGAACGTGTTTGGCATTGAAGATTTAAGTTCATTAAAAGATAGCTACAGAAGCAGCTCACTACCTAATCTTCATACAACGTCATTTATGAACAACCCCTTCATCACTTTCCTTTATGAATTTTTCAATATCCTCTCATCACTTTCTGCATCTTTCTCAATTTTAGAACGAACGACAGAATCATCACAGCGAACGGCATTTCATTAGAGAACGTCGAGTATGCAACAGCCGTTCAAGTATTACGTGATAGTGGAAATACAGTAACACTTGTTGTTAAACGACGTGTCCCAGTGCCGGTGCCTGTAAATTATCAACAACCCGGCAGTAGTGCAATGACAAATCATCAGAATATGCATCAGCATCAACATAGTCTAAGTTCAATTGGATCTCAACAACAAATAAAAGTTATAATTAATAAAGCCAGTAAGAAGGAGGACTTTGGGATTGTTCTTGGATGTCGATTGTATATTAAGGAGATCTCATCAAAGACTCGAGAGCAATTGTCAGCAAATGGATATACGTTACAGGAAGGTGACATTGTAACACGTGTCCACAATACAAACTGCAATGACTCGATGAGTTTAAAAGAAGCAAGAAAGATTATGGACTCGTGTAAAGACCGATTAAATCTGGCAGTTATAAGAGATCCAAATGCAGTCGTCCAACAACAACCACAACAAACCAATAACTCTATGTTCTCACATCAACAGCAATTATCAAATTGTTCAAATATTGAAGATAATTTTAATACATCATCATACTCAACACAAAACCTCTACGTCCAGCCACCAACAAGACCATCACTGAGTACAATGCTAGATGATAAATGTAATTTAACGCCTCGAGGACGTTCAAGAGGTCCACTTACTGACATTTCACAGCTTTCACAACTCGATAGACCATCAACACCACCAAATCATTCGAGAAGTCGTAGTGGAATTATTGATGAGCCACCACGTCCACCATTACCTCGAGATGAATATTATAGCACTCGACGATTGGCAGCTGAAACGACTGAGCCACGATACATAACATTCCAAAAAGAGGGCTCGGTTGGCATTCGATTAACGGGTGGAAATGAAGTTGGAATTTTCGTGACTGCCGTACAACAAAATAGTCCAGCATCAATGCAAGGTCTTGTGCCTGGTGATAAGTTATTGAAAGTTAATGACATGGACATGAATGGTGTAACGCGAGAAGAAGCTGTGCTATTTCTTCTATCTCTTCAAGACCGCATTGACCTAATTGTACAATATTGCAAAGAGGAATACGACAATGTCGTTCAAAATCAACGCGGTGATTCCTTCCACATAAAGACACATTTCCACTACGATGCACCATCAAAGAATGAACTTTCATTCAGATCTGGCGATGTCTTTAGAGTAATTGACACACTTCATAATGGAGTCGTTGGATCTTGGCAAGTGATGAGAATTGGACGGGGACATCAAGAGTTACAACGTGGAATAATTCCAAATAAGGCAAGAGCTGAAGAATTGGCAACAGCTCAATTTAATGCAAGTAAGAAGGAAGCCTCAAATTCAGAGTCACGAATGAATTTCTTTAGACGCAAAAGAACCAACCATCGACGATCAAAATCATTGTCAAGGGAGAATTGGGATGATGTTGTGTTTTCTGATTCCGTCTCTAAATTCCCTGCTTATGAGCGCGTTGTGCTTCGTCATCCTGGATTTATTCGTCCAGTTGTATTGTTTGGACCTGTTTCTGATCTCGCAAGGGAACGACTTATTAAAGATTATCCAGATAAGTTTACAGCACCATTACAAGATAGTGATAAGACAAAGTGCGGGATTGTTAGATTATCGAATATCCGTGACATTATGGATCGTGGGAAGCATGCATTACTTGACATTACACCAAATGCTGTTGATCGTCTTAATTATGCACAATTCTATCCTGTTGTCATCTTCCTTAAAGCTGATTCGAAGCATACAATTAAGCAACTTCGACAAGGAATTCCAAAATCAGCACACAAAAGTTCGAAGAAGCTTTTCGAGCAATGTCAAAAATTAGATCGTGTATGGTCACATGTGTTTAGTACGTCAATATCACTAAACGATACAGAGTCATGGTACCGTAAGGTCAGAGAGACTGTTGATAAACAACAAGCTGGTGCTGTCTGGATGTCAGAGACTAAGGTGAGATTTAAAGATAAAGTGTATAAATTATTGCTTTGGTGTCGGAAAAAAGGAAATTGGCGCGATAAAAAAGCGTGCATTAATGCAAAGGTGCTGGTGAATTTTACAACTATTTATCTACTGACATGAGATAAAGTTACTTTCGTCTCACCATGCCTTGGTCATATTTCCTTTAATAAATCGACATGTCATTGATGTTGTTGATAACAATTTGTTTTCCACCTTCAACTATTATTTATTCATTGAGTTTCAAAATGACAAAAAAGCCATCAGAGATGGATGACTAGTGTGGTACTTTTCTCGTGGATTGGAAGTAGTTTTTGAATAATTCTTGACAGTTTATATTTTGAGCTTAGGACATAATCTTATTTGAGCATTTCAACCGATTTTTTGCGCATTTGAATTTTAACGGTTAAAATAAAAGTTTGATCCATGTCAATGATGCTCTCACTTTGAGTTTTGTTTTACGATTTGTGCTTTTATTAAGCCTTCTTAAAATACAAACTAACCGTCATTCGATGCAAAAAAGTGGCAAGGATAATTTACAAAAACCTAAACTTCCAAATGTCTTCCATTTCACGAGAAAATCCACAATTTTTTGACAATTTTTGCAAGAAAAAAATAACTTTTTGAAAAGAACAAAATTCTTACTTTTCTTTATTTATTTTCCTTCTTTATTTCGTTACATCTCATGTGGATATCCTTTCTCTCTTTCTTTTTATTTTACTAATTTATGTTATAAATGTTCTTAAATGTCGTACTAATCCACAACATAAATGTAAACTGAAATTTATAGGAGCCAAAATTTACCTCAGACATATTTCTCCCATATTTGTCACCACCATCATGTCCTTATGCTTGTTGTAATCCAATTTTGCGTCACAATCGAAATCATGCAGCTAGCTCTATAGCTTACTATCAAAGACCGCGCTATTCCATGCCTATTCCTACTCCTGTGAATTATCAGATTGTTCCAATACGTCACTCAAATAGCTTTTATCGTGTACCAACGCGAAGTCTACAAAGTCTTAATACTTTTGGCAATGGTCGCATGATCGATGACAATAATAATAATAGCAGTAATTCACGCAATGGAACGCTGAGAAATCACACGGACGAGAGGAGATCTCCTTACTATTATAACGAGCTAACACGTATGCATGCACAACAATCACAGCAACAACAAATTTCACAACAACAATTTCTTCCAATTCCTAATCATATTAATGATGAAAGCTTTACAGACTTCATCAATACTATTCACCATCCAGAGACAGTTTCATGAGCTTTTTTGTTGTTTGTTCACTATAATGATAATTTTTTATGTTTTTGTCTATCAGAATGAAGCTTTCTTGGCTTACTTTTTATGCTTACTTGCTTCATTTTGGTAAACATTTTTTTTGTGGCTTCGATGAATGAGTTTTTCTGAAGTGTTGAATATTTTTTGAATTAAAAATCGTTTTAGAGCAAGCAAAATTCGTAAAACTATGGTATTAAGGTTCAAGTGCTTTACATGAAAATAATTGAACATTTAGTAGTTGAACTAAAGTTCAGTATTGCTGTATAGAACTTTTAAGAGCTTTCATATTGAAATTTTGTAAATATGAAAATAGCAGCTGTAAAATGTGGAAATTTCAAGGGGAAAACAACATGATGGGAAATTATTTTTGGTAGATTCACAATGATTTTGCCATTATGATTGGAAATCTGTTACTGAATCCAAAGATTGGGGAGTAATGGATGGAAATCTCCTATCGATCTGAGAATTTTCAATCAAAACTGTTCCTCATCATGTTGTTATCCCCCTGGAAAATATAGTTGTTAAATCACTTGCCAGTATTTGATGAGCCAAGCACTGAGGAGTATGAAGGATGTTAATGCATTGTACTCTATGAAGAATAATAGAGCATTTATGCATCATAATATCAAGCATACAGCCACTTAAATTCTTTTTTCAAATGCTTAGAGATTAGCAATTTTTTTTTTTGAGGAATTAATACTGTTGTATGGAACAATATTGAAGGGTTCATAGATTGAAGAATTTTTTGATAGCTGGGCAAGTTCCAATAGCTATGTACCTCAAAAAGTCAAATTCCAAAGCAACACTAGCTATAAATTCGAAATTTGTTCAAAACTCAAACAAAACTCACAAAAATAAACCCAGAACACCTCATTCAACGACAACCTAACCTAAAGAAATGCAGCATACCATTAACTCTATAATCCCTACCAGAAAATATTAATCCTTTTTTAAAAATATCATTTATGCTTAAAAATCTGTTTATTTATTTTTATATCTGCCCATCACTAACTGTGTGTTTTTTTTCTCCATATTTTTTTTCTACTTTTTATGTTTCCATGATCTGCTTACATAAACATACATATCGAATGTCATTTTTTATCATCATCACAAATGAAAATATTTTCACATTTTTTTATATATTCTGCCTTTTTCCTGATCATATTCATGCACATATCCTAATATCCTTCCTTGTCCCAAATATTCTCTGTTTATGTTTATTGATTATTTATTTTATGTTCATTTATATTCCGATTTTCCATAAAATTTCATTCGTCCGGTTTATATCCATACATATATATTTTTTAAAAAAAACATTGGTTTGTTTTCTTCTCACATAAAATAATTTTGATTTTATTTTGGGTTTTCCGAATTGGCAAATTAACCACAAAAAAACTACATCCCTAAAAAAATTATTATACAATCCCAATCCATCATCCTATCCATTTAAAATCACATATCCGACCTTCAAATAATGTAAAATGAAATAAAAACGAAACTTCAGCCTGTTGAGTCATTATCGGATGATTTCCTATTCCCAATGAATACAACATCTCGACTCTCGTATGCCTCAAGTCCTGAATCAGATTTGGAGTTGTCACCTGGACCATCAGCATCATTATCATTGGGCAATTTACCGCAGCTTGTAAAATCAAGTTCAGATCCATCAATAGCAACAAATCAGGATAATTTAGATCGTGATCGTGAGGAAATGGTTGAAGGAATGCCACCGCCATACACGGTAAGGATTTAAAAATCACATTTTGAACACCGACGTGAGATTTTTTTAATTCTCAATTTCTTCCATCTCATCCAGCACATTATTCTCTTATTATTATTACTATTCTCATGTACTGACATATACATTTATATATTATATGCCATAAAATAACCATTCTTAAGGTTGTTGGGCGATATATACAATATACTCTATAATATCTATGTTGGTTGATGGTCGAAATATTGAATTAACATAATCTATTCATTATTCTTTATTATTATTATTTTTTGTGAGAGCTTATTCCCTTGTGGATGAATTTTACTATCTCAACTGACCCTCCATCCTATATTTCTCAATAAAAAACCCAGTAATTCATCAGAAAGTTCACAAATTTCCATTATTTATGACGATTTTAAGACCCCTCAGCCTTCCAACCCCCAATCCCCAAAAACTCAATCCAAATATATCATAAAAATTCATCACAAGGGACTTACCCCATATCATATAATCATAGGAATATGTACTAATGCATTTATTACAACTACTTATAGAATCCATATGACCATTCAACTGCACACACAAGAAGATTGACTGTCGATAATAAATATGGATTTTCACCATCGAAACCGACCGATGAGCAAGCACTTTATGGAACGCGTCCAAGTGCTTTCAGTAAGAATTTAATAACATTTATTATTATCTCTCGAACATGTAGTTATTGTATGATGCTAATGGTAATAAATAAATTATTTTTAGCAGTTCCGGAATTACCACCACGCATTGATAGAGCGTCAAAGCCTAATTCAGTACCACCAAGTACACCAGGATCATCGTTGCCATCAAGAAATTCATCGTCTGCTAATAGTAATGGTGGTACGATAGGACGTACAGCACAGGAGAGATTATTTGGAAATACAGCAAAACAAGGAGTTAGTCCTGAAGATCAGCAGCAAGATGACATTTATACATCATCAAATAAGCTTTTGAATACTATGGAACCGAAGAAAATTCCAAGCGATGAGAATTCTTTGGAGAGACGCAATATTGCGCATGGACATCATCATCACCATTCAAGTACTCAACAGAATTCATTAGATCGTCAAAATTCAAACCAGAAGAATGGATCAAGCTATGATAGTGTGTCAAGCTATGATTCCTTTAATGCTAATCAACCACAACAAGCCATCACAACATCAACATCATCTCTACAAAATCGATTAGGTCCAAATGCACCAGATGATCTGAAATCAATCCCACCACCAACAGCAAATCGTGCATCATTGGTTAATACCCAAGAATATGCATCACATCAACGTAACTCGATTCATGAACGTGACTATAGTTTTAATGGTGGAATGGAATCAATGCCACAGCCACGAAACTCTGTGAATCTTCCGCAAAGACCGACAAATTTGCTGATCGAGAGTCCAAGAAAACCGCATATGATGGAGACTAAGACGGATTACGGAAAATATAGGTAAGATGAGATGGCTTTATGAATGTTTTCTTTAATTGGCATAATTTGCGAGCAATAAATTAACATGGAAAGCGATTTGTGGGAAAGGAAATTAATTTTGTGATTGATTTGTGTGGTTAATTGGGAGGATGGGTGATGCTGATGGAAGATGAGACAGAGTAGAGTGATTATAGTTGTATAATCGCATTATTGATGGGTTTAAAGTTAGTAGAATTAGGATTTGTAATGATAATCTTAGTTTAGAGCTAAGGAAATAGTCTAAAGCTGTTTTACTGATCAATTTAATAAGGAAGTGACAAAACTATGCAATATTATGAATATTTAAGTTTTATGCTTCTGACTTACAAAGGATAAAAGTCAAGGTCGATTAATCACACACCTCTAGATACCCTAGAATACATATATACTCTCCTCAACCTTACAGCCATCATCTAGCTATCAATATCCAACAAATCACATCAATTTGCAATCCATTGCCACTAAAAATCAAGATTAAAAACTCCTGAACCGCAAAATCGCATCCAATCAAGCTGAAAAAATTTCAATTAATTATGATTAGCAATAACAGAAAATAAGTCAAGCATTAAGCATTAATCTGCTTCATATTTTTTATCTTCTTTTTTTTCCCACTCCCCAAAAAAACTTAAAATTGCACAAATTTTTATCTATTTTTCTGTCTGCTGGAAAGAATTTATCAATTACCAAAAGGCAACAGCACTTGTAAATTACACTCGAATAATCCACAGACATTCGTTCATTATCAAACTTGCCCAACACGTCGCTCGCATATTTTCACATATCCACATTCTCCACATGCTTCGAGAGCACTTCCATTAGCTAAAGCTAATTTGTTGACATCATCTTATAATACTCTTGTATAAGTTTTTTTTTCACTTATTTGCACTGATTTTTTTATATATTTTTCTTGTTCCATGACATGTAGACTATGTTATGCTATCTTTCTCACTCGCTCACATTTTTAATGCTTGTTCTCGATTCACAAAATTGATTTTCTTTGGTTATTATTTTCCATTATCATCATTATTATTTGTATTACTATTCAGTAGAAACAATTCAGCTACTCAAGCCGATTATATAAAGCCACCGAAAATTGCACAAGTCGGACCACCACTTCCCAACTCTAATCCGCCACCACCAAGTGCATTTAAGCCTGTACCACCCCCAAAACCCAAAAATTATCGACCACCGATGCAGGGTGGAGCTCAGAATGGAAATCAGTGGGAAAATGGGGTAAGTTTTGTGTTTTATTTTGAATTTTTTTTTTGTTGAAGATCAAATTTTGATCCTTGGAATCAAAAGTGACAGTTAAAGTTCACAATTAGAGAGTTAAAATTTGACATTTGATGTTCATACTTGACAGTTTAAGTTCAAAATTGACCGTTTAAGTTCAAAATTGTCTGTTAAAGTTGAAAATTGACAGTTGAAGTTCAAAATTGACAGTTTAAGTTCAAAATTGACCGTTTAAGTTCAAAATTGACCGTTTAAGTTCAAAATTGTCTGTGAAAGTTGAAAATTGACAGTTGAAGTTCAAAATTGACAGTTTAAGTTCAAAATTGACAGTTTAAATTCAAAATTGACAGTTAAAGTTTAAAATTGAGCGTTAATTTAGTAAAATTGCAAGACTAATATTTTAAAACCCACAATTAATCCAGGAGCCAGTCTCACCTCGCTCACCAAACGGATTTTATTACTCAACTCCAACCAATCAACAACATCAGCACTATCATCATCAAAGTATGACAAATGGCTCTGGTACATCACCACATTATAGTCATCATCAATTTGGTGGGAATTCGCATTCAAATTATGGTCAACCAATGCCTCCGATGCCACCGCATATGCAATCTCCACCTATGTTTGGTAATAATGGATATAATCATCAACCGCATTATGGTAGTAGTGGAAACTATTCACATAGAAATCATGGATTTGGTAAATAATCATAACAATACATTTACATTTACATTTATTAATTCCATATTCATGACACAAACTCCTCACTGCGCTGTTCAATTCCTTACTCAAGCAGGAAAAACAGTAAACAAAAATGAGCAAACAAAAACAAAAAATAATGAAAAATTAATTTAATTAACTTGAAAAAATGCTTTCATAACCAAATTAAATAAATTCATATGCATGGGATATAAAAATATGTGTGTGGTGGTTCCAAAGGATCGTAATTTATTGAGTCTCGCCTTATTTGGTATAAATGTGCAGACAAATTATGCACGAGTGTGGAAAATTAAATATGGAAATATTAATTTATTGAAAATCGTGGTGAGCGTGCGGTTTTTGGGATGGAAATTATGATGAAGCATTGGAGGTCGTGTGTGGTAAATACTGCATGGATGTTTATGCTTTCGATTAATTTTCGAGGGGTTTTGTGATTTTTTGAGGTAATTGATTGTGAAATGTTATTGAAATCTGCGGATTCGGCAAGTTTTGTGGGATTTCAAAGTTAATTAACTTCAAAAAAAAAAATCACTTCAACTTACATATTGAAGGATCCACCAAATATATATCAACACCAATTTTTTTTTGGAACCACTTCACCAACTCCAAATAATCCAATCCATTCACACATAAAAAAATATATTCCATAATAATTTCATTAATTGTTGTAATTGAATTTTAAATAACTTTTTTTAAAAAAATTTCCATCAGGAAGTTGAAAATGACAAAAATAATCTCATGCATTTTAAAAATTTGATGGGATGCATGCATGCAAAAATATTTTTAAAAAAAAACTTTTAATTCATATGAAAAATTGAAATTGTCACTGAATCTGATGCTATGGGTGCTCATGACTTTGGATATAAAAAATTGCAGAAAAATAAAAATCTCAAAGATCCATAGCAGATGAAATTGCAATATCCATTAACCCAATTATAATTTTATTACCAAGCCTGTGGGAGAAGCAAAAATAATAACGGAAGCTTATTTAATAAACTTTATTTTTTATCCATCCTGCTTGCTCTTCTTTCCGCTTCTAAGTTTATAATTACAAAACAATCTTATTACAAATTTTTATATCATCTCTATCTCTATCTTTCCTTAATTCCAATGACTACAGGAAACTTACCAGTACCAACTCAGTATGGTATAGACTTGGCAAATCGTGAACAACGTGGCTCTGCTTTTGAATTGTATAGGAAGCCACAAGTTGGTGCTCATAGTATGAGGTAAGTTCTTTTAATGCTATTTTACTTCTTTCTACTATTTTCTATCTCTTTTCTGTTCTATAAATGCTATCTCTTACTCATTATTCCATCCTCGTGATTCTTTGAATACTTAAATTTAAAATGTGATGATAATGTGCGTTCTTGTGGGGAATTGTTTAAGGCAGTGTTGGACAACCTTTTCTGTGATACATAGGTACACCTTAGTGGTAAGCCAGGACGAAACCAAGACACACGGTTCGTGGGCTTTTTCGAACTGTTACACACAAGTGTGCCGCGGCACATGGGTTAGCTACCACTGGTGTAATGCGTGAGGGGGTTTGTGAGGGGGTTTGATATTTAAAAGCATCTATCCCCCGACCTGATTGTTCTTTTCCTAATCTCACAAAAGCATCAAAAATGGAGGGGGGTTGGGGGTCAGTCCTTTATTGATACCAATAAGCAGCATTGTCAAGACAGCTCTTTAAGCTGCGGGTTTCTCATACGCTACCTTGAAAGGGATGGGAAATCAAATTTTGTCTACATTCCTGGAATTTTAATAAAGAATTTTGTCAACTTATTTAAAATATAAAAGAAACAAATTTGGCTCAAATAAATCGGGCTAGAATGTCCTTAGTAAGTCTTTGTCATAGTTTGAGGGTTCAATTCCAAAAAGCATTGTCACAAGTTTTATCTCATCTTACAAATCCTTTTTTTCAAATCTCCAAATTTTGAATAACGAATACTTTTTATGCCTCTACAAAACAGTAATAAATAACTTAATCATCTCCACAAGCACACACCAGACACTCATCTCAAATTTTTATAAGATTCAAAGAATTTCTCCCTAATTCACAATCACATATCCTTTTATCATATTTCATGCATGCACAAAACAATCCCATCATCATTCCTAATATCCTCCATTTCATCCACAAGATGAAACATACAACAGAAAACATGAAAAATTATGAAAAAAAATAAAGAATTATAAAAAATCATTTCCTATTTAGTAACTAAGGAGTCAGAGATATCGCACTAACTTTTTTCCCTCCTCGGTTGGATCATCGTTGTTGAATCATTTACATTTATTTTATAAATTAAATAATTAGTTCATTAATATTTATTTTTGTGTTGATAGTTTAATTGTAAAGAATTTTGTTGGTGGTTGAAGATTTAATGCTGAAAGTTTGTTCAAGCTTTGAAAATGCACGAACATTGAACTATCTTGAAATGATAATATTCTGCATATTAGATTGGGGTTGATCATAAATGATGTCTAATCTAAAATTAAGATATTGTGTCATGTGGCTCTGAAGTACAGAATTTTATTTTGTTCTATGAGCCACATAGCTTCAGACCCTATACTCTCATCCTGGAGATAGATATCATTTGTGAACGATCCTACTATTATATTGTGAATTAGCGAAGTAGATTGAAATCTGTGTAAACCTAGTTGGTGGTTGGAAGGAAATTAGCAAAATTATAAATCAATCAAATGACTAAAGGATCAATCTACAGCCATAACCTCCATACTGCTGATCCACTAAATTAAGTCATTTAATTTCAATGACTCTCTCGCTTACTGGCAACAATTTATTAGCTTCTTTGCTATTAGTTTGAGAATATTTACTACTAAGTGCCTCTTCCTCTATCAAAAACTACTGCAACCACAATTCACATTACTCTTATCTCAAAAAGAGCTTTTTTCTGTCGCGCTTTCATCTCAACACTCAAGTTTTATCGCTATGCACAATTTTTATAAAAGCACTTTCATTTATTCTCAAAATACTTGTGGCTGTGAACGAGCATATATTTGGCTTTTGATGTTTTTTAGCACAGACTCATGGTGGAAAAGCTTGAAGTCCGAGCTACACGTGAGTGTGACATTTAGTTTTCATAAAATCGCCATTTTGTTTTGATGTCACAGTCATGTTGCTTTTAAGTCATGGTCATGTTGCTTTTAAGTCACGGTCATGTTGCTTCATTGTCAAAGTCATGTTGCTTCCATGTCACAGTCATGTTGCTTTAATGTCGCAGCCACAAAAACACTCACTTCTATAATGAACATCTCGGGTTCCCTTTGATATACGATTGGATTCGTATATAAATTTCCTTATGTCGGCAAGCTCATTAATAAGAAAAAGTTTTTAAAGTTACTGCTCAAGCTTTGATTATATCTGTGTAGATTTATGCCAAAACTTTACATACGAGTACATTTTAAATTAATAATTTAATTTAAAGATTCCGCAAAGTGGGTGGAGTTGAGTCAAAACAAGAAAATTTATTCTCAGTTGCTCCATTAAGAGTGCTTTTCTGGTGCACAGTCATGAACCAATATTTCTCTCTGGTTGTTTTCTAGAGAATTTTCTATCTTTTCAACGCAATAACCTCAAAATGTTTTCGTCATTTTGTGCATTTTAAAAAACCAGATGTGTGTCAAATGTTTTCCTCCTAAGCGGTAATTTTCTGACTCCGGATTTAAGTTTTCTTGCTGTAATTTCCTTCCTCTCATTTTATATCGTAGAAGAGATTAAGTATTATCATAAACACAGAGTAGATCAAACTTTTGACACAGAAAAAAAGACGAGAAACTTTTCTCTTATCTTGCTTACACTATTGCGAATTAGAATTTAAGCTTTTTAATAGCTTTACCAGCTTTTTCCTTATTTTTGTGGTTGAGGATTTTCATACATTGAGTATAGGAAGGATTAATTATTGTAATTTGGTGGAGAGAGGTAAGAAATGACTGTTATGATTTATTAAGTGAAAAAGTCGAGTTAGAGATTGAAAGTGTTCAGAATTTCAAAACCTAGATGGGTATACTAAATTAGTATAAAAGTAAAATAGAAAACAGGAATACTAAAATAGACAAGGATACTAAAATAGTAAACCAGGATACTAAAATAGTAAACTGGGATACTAAAATAGTAAACTGGGATACCAAAATAGTAGACTAGGATATTAAAATAGTAACTAGGATACTAAAATAGTAGACTAGGATACTGAAATAGTAAACTAGAATACTAAAATAGTAGACTAGGATACTAAAATAGTAAACCAGGATACCAACATACTTAGTTATAAACAAATTATACTTAATTTCCAATCAAACCTCAAATTCAACCATAACACTATCAAACTACATAAATAAATCCATAACAGTCATTTGGTATCTGGGTGAATAAGCTTACATGTTGTTTGGGTTACATATCTACCTTAAATCTGCTTAATTTATTGAATGAATGTGATGCTAGTATGACTGATGATATAAAACAATTTATTTTCAACTGCAGGAAAGAAAACATATATTGATGATGATAAAAAAATAACATAAATTATTTTTGTTCAAATTCAAGCATATGGAAAAAGTTAGTGCATGTCCTGATGTGCATTAATTGAATCACACACAAATTTTATTAAAAAAATTGAATTTTATCCATAATTGAATTAGCGATATGCCACCACAGAGACAGAATTTACCGCCAAAGCATCAACAGCAGCACCGATATGATATGGTTAGTGTAACGCCAGAACCACCTCCAGAGCTGCCAGTAAAACCAAAGAAAAATCCATTGAAAAGTCCCTTAAAGGCAATTAAAAGTGCCATCGTAAAAGGCACAAAATCATTACGACGACAAGCTAGTTTTATGGACCCAAGTGAATCAAAGAAACAGCGTTCACTTAGGCGTCAACATTCCATGATGGAAAGAGGATCTAGTCGGATGTATAACTCACAACAGAACTATTCAAATCAGCAAGATTACTATGAGTATCAGCAGCAACAGTATTACAATTATTATCAGCAACAACAACAACAGCAACAGAGGCAAGGATATTATCCACAAGATGAGCGTTATGCTTGGTATCAGAGACATGAGAGATATTATCCAGCCAATGGTCAGTATGATGATGAGCCAATGTATGGAAATTATGGCCCACCGCCAGAAGAGAATATTTATGCAAATCGAGCATTAATTGAGCTTCAACGACCAGCTCCCGTCCAAACATCTACAGGAGGTCGAATAGTTCGACGACATAGCATGAATGAACGTCAACCAGATGTACCAGCATTTGCAACACTCACAAAACGACGTTCGAAATATACTGAAGATATTGACGATAGATTCGCACAAATGTCAATTGAAGAGCCAATTTATCAAAGTCAACGTGGCTCATTGATGTATCAGGAACCAATGAAGTCAAGACCGGCACCACCTGAAATGTCACAAATCAATCGTCGGCAATTTATCGAACGTCCAATTGATGACAATCAAAAGGTGATGCAGACAAGAAAAGATTTAAATTCACCTGGAACATCATCAGCATCATCAATCTCGTCGCCATCAAAAGAAAGGAATCTGAGAGAGTCAAGGCGGCAATTGAAAGATCAAATCTATCAATCAAGAATTGATGCAATGCAATCAATGGCTGAGCCAAATTTCTTGACTCGATCGAGTAGCGGTGCAAGCACAAATACAGGAAATTTAAGGTCACAGCCAATTTACGAGTCGAAGAAGGAATGCGATGAGTCAAATGAGAATGGACATAGCCGCAATAGTGATGACTTGGAGATATCGAATGAGAATAATGAACAAGAAAAGTCATTATTGGAAGTGATTGAAGAAACGATAATGAAAAATAAATCACAAGATGAATTGAATGAAATTTCTACACGTGACGATAATGACGATAGTGAAATTCCATTTGCGGATGATGAAGCCACAGTTGTCAATTCCAATACGAATGAGACAGTCGAGGATAGTGACGATTCATTGCAGAGGACAGCTATTGAGAGAATTAAAGAACCGATACATATTTCTAGTATAATTAAACGTTCGGCTCCTCCACCTCCACCAATTCGTTCACCAACAACAACAAGAACTGTCGAGCGTAGAAATGGAAACGGACATGCTGAATTTGTTTACGATTCCCACACGTCCATTGATACACAATATATATCTCAAGCTAGTCTTCCAACTGGGCCACCAAATGCTCATTCTACACCATACACAAGTGAATTGACCCTCAAAGAGCAAAAGTCATTGGCAAAGGCAAGATTCTTAGGCGCCCCGTCCGTACGTCAACCAAACACAACAAAAGGATATTTCGATGAAATGGGTGGAATGCTTGAAGATAAAGCATGGAATGTGTCATTGATAATACCACCCGGTGCTATACCAAAAGGTGCAAAACAAGAAATTTACTTCACTGTGACAGATCCACGAATATCTGAATCTGTTGGCGGTCCACCACTGGACATGGAAAATGGTTGGTTCTATTTTTTCGCACAACTTTTATTTTTATTTTTTTTTTACTTTCCGTTATTTTTTATTTTTTTATTTTGTTATTCACAAAAAAAATTTTTTTTATTTGTTATCTTCTTTTGTGTGTGTTTGATGTGTCTGTGTGATGTATCTTTTAGTTTTGCATGTTATTAAGTAGTCTGTAGTTATTCATATACTAATCATATACACACGCTCCTTATTGTTGAATCATTTTGTTTATTATTTTGTTATTTTTTTTTATCGGTGATTTGTGTTCTACTTTGAGTATTTTAGCACATTGATTGATATGTTTTATTGATGTTGATGGAGATTATGGAGGGTTTTGAGAGATATAGTAAGTTTATGGAGGGCATTGCACTATCATAGATGTAGATTGACACGATAATGTCTCTGATCAAGATATATTAAAGGATTTTGAGTGATTTTCCTTTTACTGAGCGGCTAGCTATGTTATTGAGTCTTTCAAGCTATCAATGTCGGTGACTTAGATACTATTTCCCTGTTTGGACTATTATATACGGTTCTAGTAAAGGAAACCAGACTTAAACCGTTAATTTTAAGGTCATGTGCTTAAATTGACGTTACTGTACCCTAAAAGAATCAAAATAAGTATGACAGATGAGTAACATCGGATCCAAGACTTAAAGAGTACAAACTCAATACTCTGCAAGTCCTGTTGCTCATGTAAATGTTCTTATCACACTAATTTAATACTTTACAGAACTTACAATACGAAAATTACTACAAAACCTTAAACTACACACCAAAAACTCTCAAAACCCATCAAAACTTCAACATAACCTCAAAAACATTAAAAAAATTCTAACCTCAAATTTAATTTTCTTTCTCTCCTAAATACTTCAAATCTCTAGGTGAACAAGTCCTCTCACCAATCGTACTATGTGGACCAGTCGGTTTAGAGTTCCTTGAACCCGTAACCCTCAACATTCCACATTGTGCATCAAGTACACCATCGCTAGGTTTATCTATTAAGGCAACCGACAGTGAGAAAAATCTTCAAACCAATTGGGATAATATGGATCTTCCACCATCAAACACAGCTCATCAAGTCAGCGTTAAAGTTGATCATTTTTAAATAAGCAGAAAATATATGGGAAAAAAATTATATTATTTTTTATGTATTTTACTATTAAATAGTGGCCATTGAACAAGAAACAAAAAAATAATAACTTTTTTTTTAATATTCACTCAAAAAAACACATATTTCATATTGTTATATAAAGCAGAGATTTATGCTTGAGGATATGAAAGCCTCAATTATGAAAGAGGTCATCATGAAACATAAAAAAAAAATCACAATGTAATATTAAATAGCAATTCATAATTAATTTTTTTATCTCTTCCTCAATTTCTCCTAATCTTTGCTCCGTGCCTTTATTTTTGCGCCCCACACTCTCTTTTATGTAACTTTATACAGTATCTGTCCTATGAGAAAAATCAAAAACATCCTTTTTATCATTTTCTGTTCTTTTTGTGTATGTTACTTTTTTTTTTGCTAAAGCGACGAATGTTGAGGGAAATTGTGTGTGTGTGTGTGTTTATGATGGAAACTAATTCTTTAAATGCAGTTTTTGAGGATGATTATGAAAAAATTGTGGATTTAGTTGTGGCATTTTGGGATGAACTAGGGAAGCTTTCATTTTAATGTATTTTGAAGCCTAATGTTAGATTGCTCAATGTTTATATAGCATTTGACAATAATCTATCTGATTAATGTAAGTAGAAATGGTTCAGTGGTGTAATGGATTAGTTCTACGGAGCCATATTCTTATAACACTGCCGTTGCTATCTTAGGTTTGAATCTTGACAAGGGAATTTATTTATTTGAATCATCATTTTGCGAATCATTTTCATATTGAAACTGTCTTTTGGGGGCTGAATTAGAAAATCTCATCTAGAATGTGGTTCGAATCCCATAAAAAATGTATGTCAAGATTGGAATCAATGACTTGGCTAAACTGTGGCTGAATCAAAGCTATGATAAGCTTTATTGAATTTTAAATGCCTAGCTTAGAAACATAGCAAAGATAGGAAAACATCCCTACAAAACTAGCTAAAACTCCTTGAATAAACCTTATAAATCTTAGACGAAAGCTCAAAAAGCTTAATTATAATTTAAAAAATCACTCAAAAATCCAAAAAAATCATTTAAAAATCGCAAATCTCCTTAAAGAGAAAGTTCAACAACACATGTCTCCATCAAGTGCCCGCAACTCAAAACTTCCCCCATTAAAATTACGTGAAAAAAGCTTCCTAATCATTCCCAAGTCTGCAATTCATTTCACTTAATTTTTTTCTCTCTCAAACATTATGCATGAACATTATATGATACACCACACAAGGGAATACGTCGCATGTATATTTTTCCTCATTTAACTTTCTCTGAATAAAAACTGTATACACTCATAACTTAACATTTTTTTTTCTTGCTCCCTGAGACGGGGATGGTAAAAAATGAAGCAAATAATGAATGAATAAAAATTAGTTGATATAAGATTCATTTCATATAATAGACATACATACTCTATTGTACACATCTAATAATGATAGAAAATTTATAAATATTTTATAAGCGATAAATGACTCTAGTAATTTGATTTAAGCATAGAAAAGTTTGTCTTGTGACATGAAGCATTATGGAAATTTATATACGAAATTTTTTTAAGCAAGAACTCTTTTTTTTGATGTATGAGATGAATAAATTTTTGTATCAAAATGATGAAATTTTTGTAGACTTTTTTAGGATATCTATTGCAAAAAACTAATAATAATAATTATGATAATGAAAAATTGTAGAAAATACTTAAAAATTGTAATAAAGGAATGAGAATTTCTATATGAAAAAATTGATTTTTTTGGAAACTTTTTAAATTTCAGAAATTTTCAAAAATCAAAAAAAAAATCCTACATTTTTAAACCGTTGTGAAGCTTAAAATCATGCCTGCTCACGTTCATGTCAGCTAATAAAATGACAATCTACCAAATTTATATCCACGTTTCAATCATTCAACTTGACATTTTTATATTGATCGAATCTACGCATAAGTACGCACATTAAATCAGTATTAATGATATCATCGTACGAACGCACTTGTCTATTGTTAATGTTACATATGAGATTGTAAGTGGAAGTTCATTTACGGTTAATGTTGTTGATATATTTTTTTTTTCAGGGGTGGATGTTTTGAATGAGTCAGCATTTTTATGAACATTTACAGAAATTGTCAATAAGAGCATTTATCAATGAAAAGCTATTGTAGCTGTAAAATTGAAAATATCAACGACTGGAATCTTCTTGTCGATTTAGCAGAAATGAGTGCCATTTCCATTGTTGTAAAGAAGAACAAAAGCTTCACGATGATTTGGAGAAATTTCAGAAAAACTCAATGAATTGCATATTATCATTGCTTTCTCACTTCAATCCCTTGATGATATTAAATGCTTTGGAAGGATAACGAAAAGGACCGACCATAATTTCTGCATGATATCACAAAAACCAAAAGGAATTTTCCATAGGAATTCTTTTTATCACTTTAATAACCAGGAGGCATCATTTAGGAGGCACATATTCAAAACTTCTATATCCACTTCCCCTAAACAACCTTAAATCTTAGTGTGAAAATTCCCATAAAACAGCTTCAACTAGCTTCAAACCCAAATAATCATTCCTGTAAATAAAATTATCACTAATCCCACACTAAAACTTTATCAACTTTCATGTCTATTCTTGATTACAAAACCATAAGAAGCTCCACTTACTTTTATTTCCTCATTTAATCCAAAACTTCCAACAGAAGGAAAAGATTCTCAAAAACTTACATTTGCCATCAATTTTTACGATAAGAAACAATCGAGTCGAGCTTAACTAGACTTATATTATAAGGATATGCCATTCTCATTAGACAACAAAAGGCTATTGATGTCGAGTCATTGATTTGGTGAATGAGCAATAAAAAGAATTTTCAGTAAAACAATCATCAAAGGATCTCGATTTTTTGATATTGAATAAATTGAGATTTGATGGACGGATAGACAGTAAAGGGACGAAAACATGGTAACGACTTACCATATAATTTAATTGAAGGCCATTGACCAATATCTACTGACTAGCAATTACATTTTTGTTAAAGACAAATCAAATAAATGATGGAATAATTGAACAATAATGTATGTCCAATGCTCTTTGGATTGATTTTTTCCATTCACAATCTGGTAATGACTAGCTGGCTTTACATTTGCTGTGAATGAGTCCTTAATATTAACACATGGATCGAACACAGTCGTAAAGCAATAAGGGGATTTTCTCATATTAATCCTAATGGCTTCTTTACTTTGTTTCTTTTGATTTCCTTTAGCTTGTTCTTTTGAGGGTGTGGATTGATATAAGGAACTAATTTTGTCGGACTCATGTGATATATCTTGAATAAAAATAGGTCATATTAGAGTTTCGCATGCTTTGCAGCTAAAATAATCCAAATAGTATCCTCTTAGGTATAGAGCTTTCGAACAAGAATCATTGGGTACTAGCCTGGTTGATGGTGTTTAAAGTCTCATTTGCAGTCGCTATATTCCTAATACTATTTAGCATTAAAATTACATAATTGTGCTAATCTTAGCTAATTTTGAGATTCGAACTCAAGAATGCAGTGTTGTTGCCAATATTATTTGTTATCCGACTTAATCCTTGCGGCACTAAGTCACATTAATTCACAAGGACATTAATTGGTCTTATCAAAGTTTAATGAAGCTTTATCTGTCAGACTTGCTAGAATTTAAACTGCAAAATTGCAATAAATGCGCCTATAACCTACTAATCAACCATTGCATCTCCAAACTCAAAGTTTTTCTATCCCAATCCAAACGGAAATGTGTGCGTATATATAAATTGGATAAAAGAAGCAACTCACTCAATCAATTGTGTAATATCTCACTATCCTGTATCGATAGAAAATGTGAAGCAATTTTCATAGAGATAAATTACTTCCCAAACTCTAAAAGAAATGTCTATATGCTTATTTTTGGAACATTTAACTTCATAAAATCGAATTTTATGTTTTTCTGCAATTTTTTTACATAGTCTCGAGATGCTTATTGAATCCATGCCTTACATCCTACCTGCTGCCATTTGGCAAAGTCTTGAATGTTTCTTTTTATTCAATAAACTAATTTCCCGTATCATTTTCATATCCTTTATATACACCTTGGCAGACTTGCTAGTTCTGGGTATGAAAACGTGACGGCTCAAAGGAACAAGCATAAATTATTAGTCTATCTGCCTTTTTTCTCAGTTCAGCTTCAGATATGAAAATAAATAAATTTTACCCAATGTCACATTCCTGTCTCATATTACAGTCGGATATTTGGTTGAGTTTATTTATGGTTTGATCAATATGGTAAAATGTGGAGATTATGGTTGGCATCAAATTTCGTAATCCTTAAAGAATCGTGTCGTATTGTTGAAATAAAGGAAATGAGAAAGTTTTTAAGCAGACATGATTAATTGGGTAAAATTTTAGAGGTGGTTGAAGTTTATGAGGAAATTAGCTTGTGCTGTGTGAGCTTTAATGAAGTTTGTGTTGGTTAAATTGATAATTTTTGAGGATGTACTTAATAGATGAGTTAATTAAAGACAGTTTTGAAGTCGTTTGGATAATTTTTGATGATTTTTGTCACGCTAATCATCTGCTGGAGTTAATTTTGACTTTTAATGCCAAGGTTGTGCTTTATAAGTAGCTTCAGGCGCGTAGCTGAGTAGAACAAGATGACTTAAGGATCGTAAAAGTATGAAATGCCTTAAAAAATTAAATCCTTCAAGTTGTTCTTTTTCGAAACCCTTTATTTAAGCTTTTATTTACACAATATTAAACTTTTTGTCTGAGGGGTCGTTCACTTATGACGTTCATCAAAAAACCTGATTTTTAGACCCCTCCCCCCCTCTGTCACAAAAATTCTAAAGAAAAAAATTTCCATTGTTTGAACTGTCACAAAATCCTAGACTCCCCCCCGCCTTAATGTCGGACGTCATAAGTGAACGGCCCCTGAACAAAATAAAATATCTCTGAAAATGATCTTCCA